CGAGGCCACCTCTTTGCGTATCAGAGTGCAGCTGGGACTGCTTTCTTGGGAGACCTTGGCCTGTACTTTGCTCCATCTTCTTGTGGTGAACAAGTCCCTTGTTTCTACAGGAGGATGTAACCAACTGGGCATGGTGGCAGAGGCCTCCCAGCACTCTAGGAGGTTGAGGCAAGTTTGAGCCTGTTTTAGTGACTCAGTGAGGCTATGTTTCAAAATGAAAAACAAAAGGTCTCGGGGATGTAACTCAGTGCAGCAACCCAGGGTTCAGTCCCAGTACTGCAAACAAAACAAAACAAAACAAAACAATAGCCTTTCTTCTGGGTTAACCATAAAGCCAATCAGAATCTGCCCTCACTTAGCAACCTAGTAGATTAACTGAACTTGAATTTATAAAGAAAAATAACATCAAATTATTAAATTTTTCAATTCTTAGCAGAAGTTTAATTTTAAGATGTAACATTCCTGATGATAACCTAAAATCTATTTCTGCAGTGCATTCATTTTTGTGTGTGTGAGTAGGGGGTACTTTATGAAAGATAGTGAATGGGACAGATAACCTGAAGCTGGTTAAAATGAAGCAAGGCCGGGTGTAGTGGTGCACACCTGTAATCCCAGCACTTAGGAGGCTGAGGCAGGAGGATTGCTGCAAGTTCAAGGGCAGCCTTGGTTACATACTGATTTCAAAGTCAGCCTGAAGTACATACACAGCAAGACCCTGTCTCAAAAAAGAAAAAAAAAAGAAAAAGGGCTGCCCCACCCCAACCACTACCACATGCGCCCCCTGCTGGGACACTTGAATTGGCTCCTGTACACTAGGTTGTCATGGCTGTGGGCTCTGCTCTGACAGCTCATACTTGTGGCCTCATACCGAGTCCACATCTTTTGGCTACTTGCAAAATTGTGCTTTATGTTTTTTTTCTGGGGCTATTGTCATAGCTTTCATTATTGAATGTTCTAAAAAATAGTTCTTTTAAAAATTGGGAACTTTTTTGTTTTGCTTTTAGTTCTCAGGACGTTGTTTGCAACACCAGACATGGTAGGAAATCCCTTCTGAGCATCTGAGGGAGAAGTCTTTCTGAGGCCTCAGGTTTACCCAGAACGTGGCTCCCAGCAGCAGTACCCCCTTGCTGTAAGGGCTTAGTGTCAGCTATGTGGCCACCTTCAAGAATGCCTGGTGCATGGCAGTATAGAAGTGGCTGTGGGGGCAGGGTCTTTCTTAGCAGTAACCACCCCTCCCCCACCACTTCGAGGCCCCTTTCCAGTGGCCCCTCCTGCTCCTCATACTCCTGCTCGGCCTCTTTTTGTTGTTCGGCTGTTTATTCACCTTCCTCTACTCAGGGTGAAAGTTCTGCTGAGACCTTTGTGGGCTGCCGCTTCCGGGGTACACTTCTCTTGGTGCGCATGTATGGTTGCAGAAGCCAGGTGCTGTGGGCCCTGGGCGTCTCTCTGTGAACTAAAAGGCAGGGTCCAGGTACTTCACAGAGCTTCTGGCTGCCTCAAGCCACTTCAGTGGGAGTTGTCTGTGACACCGACCCTGGCCCAGTGCCCTGCTAGAGTGGTGCAGCGCTAGGGCTGTCACTGATGGCCCAGTCTGTGTGGCGGTTTTTAGTTGTCTATGTTCTGCTTAGGAGCAAGGGGGATATTTCTGTCATGGTACTTTCATACTATCACTTCTGACCAACTCGGGCCCTCGGTAACCATTTACTAAACAAAAGCAGGGCTAATGCTACAAACACTGTGTAGCGCTTCATGGGGAGAAACAGCAAGAAAGGCGTGGCTCTCGGCCTCCACCCTGAGCATCAGGAAGGTATCGTGAGGGGCCAAGGGAAACTCTGGTTGAGCACTTGCTCACACACACATGAGGCCCCAGGATTGGTTCTCAGCGCCTCCTGAAAAATATTGTTTTGAATTGAGACCACACACACACACACACACTCATTATTTCGATAACAGAGATCTTACATTTTAATGTACCTTGGTGGTTGAAACATAGACCCTGGAGGTAGACTGAGTTTGAATCCCAGTTCTGCCATTTATACACTGTCTTATGTGAGTCACTTATGTGACTTATTTGAGCTTGTAACTTAGCCTCTCTGTGCCTCAGTTTACTCACATTAAGTGGGGCAATAATGGTTTGTGCTTTGTGGCGTTGTGAGAATGAATTATTTTATGTAAAGTGCTTGGAATAGGACCAGGCACATAGCAATGAGAGGTGAAAGGTTCAGCCGAAACTACCAGTATTATTCAAGTCCACATGTAGTTTTGCTGTGCTATACTGTTGCTTCTTCATAAACTGAAAAAGCTGGTTTCTTGGTTGCGTGTGTGTGTGTGTGTGTGTGTGTGTGTGTGTGTGTGTGTGTGTGTGTTGCTGGGGATGGAACCAGGGCCTCACAAATGCTAGGCGTACACTGTCCCCCTGGGCCACACCCAGCCCCTGAGAAGCTGGGTTTAGTCTGTGGCACAGCTGACACTGCGAACACCGCTGTGCCTGCTGCCTGCCCCACCATCCACTGCGGTCACAGCACCTGCTGCCAGCTAACCCCACTGCCGCCCACAGTGGCTTTCTGGTTGGGGCAACAAAGGTGCATACTACACAAACAGGAAACCGGCTGGCTTTGTTTCTTCTTCCTAGTTTGGCAGAAGAGAAAGGGGAAAACCAGGGCCCTTAACAAAGTTTGTCTCAGAGTTTAAATGTAGTTTCTAGTCTATGTTCTACAGCTTACACTAGTGTTAAATCATTGTAGAACCCCTGGAGAGCTGCTTTTAAAGTCATGAAATCATAGTTTTATTTTATTTAGGGCGGGTGGGAGAGTCAGGGTCTCTCACTATGTATTCCAGGCTGGCCTTGAACGTGAAGTGATGCATCCACCTGCTTCTGCTTCTGTGCTGCCATTCCTGGCTTAAGGGGTTGCTTTTAATGTAAAATCTTTTCTGATTGCTGGACAACTTTCCTTTGAGAATATTCAAGAGAGTTCTGGTACGAAGTGGCAAAGATAATGGCATGTTTTGCTCCCCAGCTCCCCACTGGAAGTGGCAGGAGTTGTCAGGTCAGACTATAGGTGACAGTCATCCCCCAGCACTGTGGCTTTCTGCTGGTCCTTAGCAGTCCCTTGTGGCCAAACCTTCACACGGGGGACAGGTGGATTTTTCTGCCTTGTTTCTGACGCACTTTTCCCTGGGGTCTCAGCTGGCTTTAGAAGCTGTGGCAACCACTGTGGGAGGCTCTACTGCCTCAGCCTGGCTGCCCCACCCTGCTGGTGAAGGCGGTCTGACTCATGCATTCTTTGGATATGCTCTGACATTCCATTATGAACCGGATGGCCTTTCCCAGATCCCATTGCGGTAATTGTCTTTATCCTCAACTTTAGCACATTTTCCTACGTGCTACACGGCAGTACCTGCCCAAACTCCCGGCATTTACTGTACGTTAGTTGGAAGTTGCATCAGCCTTTTCATAGTTGGACGAAACAGTATCGAAGTAAATAATACAAAGATGATCTATAACTTGACACTTCCTAATTTGCTAAATTTATGTTTCTGTACAGAACGTAGCCCCCTCCAAAGATGTATTTAATTATCAGTTCTCAGAAAGTGTCCGTACCAGGAACTTTGTCCAGCAGGGCTTCCCTGGGCTCACTTACCTTCCCATTTCAGGAATGATAGGGAGAAATATTGTCACCACTCTCCGTGTTCTGCAGAGGGGCACCTGCTGATGCTTGCTTACTCTGCTGGAAGATCTGGCCAATGGAGGAACTCACTCCAGGCCTAGGTTCGTGCTACAGTGCTTCTGACCCCATAGGGCACCTCCAAGGCTTTGTTTTCTAAAGCAAAATCAATTCTAAGGTTCAGTCTTCAAGGTGGACACATGTCCTTATGGGGTCTTTTCCTTTGTCTAAAAGTGGAATTCCCATCTCTATCCAAAATCTCATTTCTTTTTGGAGCATTGTCAGCAGAGACAGTCATTTACCTAAGTCTCACTGAGGGTGAGGGTCCTCTAAGGGCCAAAGCAAACTAAAGCTCACAGAAAGAATTTGACCCTCAACTGTATTTTGTTAGGTCTTTGATGGTGGTGCCGCTGGTTGTTATAACATTGAGAATTCAGGCAGTTTCACATAAAGATCTGATTCCTGCATCCCTCAAGAAGTGGAAAGGTCCACTAAGACTTGGCTGCTGTCATCACAGTTAGCTGGAGCTGGGTGGAAGCAGCCCCTTTGCTGGGCTGTGTGGCTCTCACTGCAACAGCTGCCCTCATTAACATAACTGTCTGGCTCTGTGGGCCTTGGAATTGAGACTTCTGCCTGTCCTGTGGCACCCGTTGTCAAGGCCTTTCTCAGTTTTCTGGCTGCATGTCTTACAGCCTTCCAGAAAGGCTCAAACTGGTGTGAGCAGTGGTTAAAGGGCTGCAGGAGGAGAATCTGCTCCCAGAGGCTGATGTGCTGTGCCAGCTCCGCCAGGCCTTCAGGGGTGGGTTTGCTGGCACCACCCCATCTGTTCACTCAGCCTGAAGGTTATAAGGAAGGTTTCCTCATGGAAGGGCTGAGGCCTTTTTGCAAAACATGAAAGAAGCCAGTGACAGCCCCTGCCCATTGTGGGCTTCCAAGACTGACGATTGCCACAGAAGGCTGAGCTTCCTGTTTACCACTGGGCCCGAGACAAAGCGGCTGTGCTTCCTGGCCGCACTGAGACTGGCACACAGGCCAGGTTCTGTCTGTCAGGATGATGGGCTGAATGCTTGCTCTGTGCTTGGCCAGTGGGCTGCCAGGGCCCCCACAGCCTGGGCCTGGACTTGAGCCACCCTCGGGTGGGCACCTGCTGGAGGGCACTGCTTTGGCTGCAGAACTAGCTGTGGCACTGGGGAAGGAAGCAGGAGAGGGAAGTTGGCCTCCGCCTTCTTGCTGTCTCCTTCTCAGCTCTCCTTTCCCTGTACATCCCAATCCAAGCCAAGGCCCCGGCACAAAACGGAATCTTTCAATAATAAATTTGTATCTTTTGTTTTTAAGTCTCCCAGAAGCAGCATGCGAGCTCCTTTAGGAAAAGAACTTCTTTACAGCGGTGTGCTGTGCGCAGGAATTGGGCCCCTACTGTATTACTTCATACAAAGTAAGTGACCCACTAACTACCCGAGGCCTGGCCTCCTCCTTCCTAGGTCCTGCTCCTCTAGCAAAGGAAACACTAGAGATGTTTTCAGCAGATTAGAGAAAGGAGGAGAGGACCATTGTAGACTCCAGTCTGCCATTCCAGGGCTGAAGGTCCCTCCTTACCCCATAAATCCTGTTACTCCAGGAGCCACAAGTACAATAAAGTGATCAGCACTCATTTGCATAAGAAGCCTTGCAAAGCAAGATAGGCTTCCAGTCCACTGCATCTGTCAAGATTTCTGAGATTCCAGCCCTCAAGCCTCTAATCCCAGCACTCTGACAGGCTGAGGCAGGAGCATTACAGGTTAGAGTCTAGCCTAGTGACACTTTGTCTCAAAATAAAAAGTAAGAAGGGCTGGGAATGTTGTTCAGCGTGAAGGCCCTAGGTTCAATCCCCAGTAAGGGGGGGAATATCCAAGATTCTACAAAGAGAAGGAAGGGGAGAGTTCTAGATGGTCACAAATGAGTAAAGCGGTGGCCTTTTCTCAAGTGTCATCAAGCTGTTTGCAGTTCTCCACTGTGGCCTTGGTGGAGGCGGGCACATCGAGGACAGACCAGAGCAGAAAATAAAAGCAGAATCCAGGATGGCAAAATCCCTGCAAATGCAGCTGCCAGCCACACTGCACATAAATTTAAATTTGTAAAGACAGGCCACCATTCTTGTCAGCAGCCAGGACACTGAAGGTCATTTCAGTGCCACTGGTGGCAAGAAAGCCTCAGGTTTTTTCTATACTGACTTCTTTTGAGGCTCCTTTGTTCCCGCCCAGCTTGGCCACTCAGCCTGGTGCCGCAGCATTCACACTTCTCCCCAGGAAACTAGCGAGTCACCAGCAGACAGACCTCCCCATGTCCCCTCCGCCCATCTTCACGTCAGAGTTGGCCATGCGCCCAAGTGTGGAGTGTGAGGTGGCGGAGAGGAACATGCCCAGGAATGATTCAGCTGGCAGCACAGCTCAGCCTCATGGACAGGCAGGACGGGCCACACTCAGCCTTCTCATCCGACAGACTTTTCTGCTTTACAAGGTAAAGGCCACAACAGCCCAGCTGGTGGTGAGACCTGGGCTCTGCAGCTGGTTGCCCTGCTTGAACCCCAGATCTAACTCTTGACTCCCCCTTTCTAGGCCTCAGTTACCTTCCTCATGTGACAAAGGCTAATAGCAGTATGTACAGTTACTGTGAGAATTGAGTCACACATATAGTTTCAAAATATATGGTATTTAAATTTAAAAATTATTACAGTAAAAGACACATGGCTGTTAATCTCCCTCAGAATCCTTCCCCTTTGCTTCAGACGCACTTGTGATTCTTGCCACTTTTTTTGTGTGCGGCTTTTTGAACTCACAGCGGTCCCACTCAGCCTCCCAAGTCCTGGGGTTACAGGCACCCTGCTGGAAGTGTCTTCTTTTTAGTGTCTTTATGAGACATGATGAAAAATATGGTGAGTCGAGACCATACTCTTAAGTGAGATAAATTGGACACACATTTAAATGCTGCATCGGTTCTCTGGTGTGAGAAACTGAATGTGGAAATAAGGATCAAAATGTGTAATAGATATTGGGAAATGGGAAGAAGATGTTCAAATGAGAAGTGGAACAAGGGAGGGAGGAGGGAGAAAGGAAAGAAGGGACAAGAAGAAAAAAAGAACAGAAGGAAATGGAAACAAAGCTTTTGTAAATAAAGAGGGGAAGAAGGGTTGGAGGGAGGGGAGGAGAATGGGAAAAATAGGAATCAAGATGTATCATGTACAGGTACAAATTCCATATGATGAATGTTATCATTATGTATTTCTAAAATTACCCATAAATGTTTTCCTTCAAAAAAAAAAAAAGAAGAAGAAGAAAAATACGATGAGTGCTGTTGCTGCCGAGTGCCACCGGTGGGAAGGCAGGCTTGTAAAAACATGACACTGCGTCCTATCCACCTTAGTCACTGGAGCTGGCGCTGTGTGACTTCTGGCTCTTCCCCAAAGTTAAAGTGACTGTAGAAAGGAAATGTTTTGAAATGATTCAGATCACCAAGGCAGGGAGGACAACACAGCTAAAGACTCTTAAAGGACTTCCAAACAGCTTCAGGAAGTAGCAGAAATGATGTGTTCAAAGTGAGGGGGAAAATTTTGAGGGGATTCATGACAGTGCCTCAGACCGTAAAGGATTTTTTTTAAAAAAATGGAAACATTCGTTGTATATTTTGATCATACCTCAAGCTATTGATGTGTGAAGGATTGTGAGATGTGTGTGAAATACTGAGATCGGAGCCTTGTCATAGAAATCATGCAGTAAAGCTCAGCTGTCTGCACCCGGCCTCCGCCCCTCCTGTCTTATCCTGCCTGGTGCATTGGTCACACCTGCAGCTCCTCTCAGGCCCAGGCCAACCTCATTACTGTGACTGGATGGCAGGAAGGAAAAGAAAGCACTTTCTTGTTGCCAAATTCACTGCATGGGGTCAGAGGAGGTACCCCAGAGAGGAGGCGGGGCCTCAACTCCCTCCGCCCCACAGAGCAGGACCTTGCCTGTCATCACAGAAAAGCATTACCGGACTCCTTGAAGAGAGGCACAGGTAGATTCATTAAACAGAATCAAGGCCATTTGTGGTGGTGCATGCCTGTAATCCCAGCACTCATGAGACTGAGGCAGGAGGATTCCTTCAAGTTTGTGGCCAGCTTCGGCTACAGAGTGAGTTCAAATTCAGGCCTGAACTACATAGTGAGACCCTGTCTCAACAAATAAGCAAACAAAACAAATAATGAAAGCAGTGTACACTCAGAAAGGAGAGTGGGTTCCAGGACGAGATGCATTCTAGTCTGCAGCTGGGGATGTTTATCTGGTCTTTGGGTGTCCTCAGGATGCTCTGGTGGGTCAGGTCCCCCATCAGTGGACTAGTTAAGAGTACAAAGCATCTGCATGTGAAGGTTAGCACTCTGGTTCCCAATTAATAATGCTGCTTGCTTGAGGGCGGAAGTCTGTGGAGGTTGGGAATCTGAACCCACACTATTAGAAGAGAAGCACCACCCAGTTTCAGACCACTCAGTTTAAGACTCCTCAGAATCTGTGCGTGAGTAGTAGCCTGGAAGAGAAAAAATGGATTGGGGTGAAAAGGCATTGCTGCCTTGGGTAACTGGATTGTGTCCTGAAGCAGCCAGTTTCCTTGCACGTGTAATCTAAACATTAGGATTTCCTTGTCTCCTTTCTGCCTGTGTTTATCTCTTCTATGTTCCTCCAAACCAACCCCTCCATGGGAAGTCTACTTCTGCCCTCTCCCTGGAGCCATTCCTGCACCTTACACCTTCAGGGAGGTACTTCCTCGGGTCAAGGTAGCCTTCGGGTTAAGAGGGGTTCCTGGGACCCAGAGCACACATGAGCACTTGCACATTGATTTCTTGGCCTGAGGGTTTTGTTGTCGGTAATGTTATAGCCTATCATACTTCTGAGCCTCATTTTTTTTTACCCTCCTCATCCTGGGAATTGAATTCAGGACCCTGGCACTGAGCTATATTTGCAGCTCTTTTGGTTTTTGTTTGTTTGTTTCCCCCGCCTTTTTTTGACACAGTCTCAGTATGTAGCCTGGTCTTGAACTCACTGTAGCCCAGGCTGGCTGATCCTCCTGCCTCAGTCTCCCAAGTGCTGTGATCATACATGTGCACCACCACTCCAGGCCTATTTCTTGTTTCGAGATAGGGGTCTTGCTAAATTGTTGAACTTCCTGGGCTAGAACTTGTGATCCTCCTGCCACAGCCTCCAGAGTGCTTGGGTTCCTGGTGTGTGGCATGAACATGGCTTATCTTACTCCTCACAGGAGTGGAAGCAGCTATGTTTAGAGTCAGCAGTCACAGATTCTGCCCCTTCTAGTCTTGGGCCAGCTGCGACTCTGAGCTTGTCACACAGGACTTCAGAAATTACAGGAGCCTCAGAGAAGAGCTGACAGAATCCCGCACTGGCAGGGAAGTGAGGCAGGGAGAGGTGATGGGAAGTGAAGCAGCAGAGGCTTGGAAAGGCGAGGATAGCCAGCGTGGAAGATGGACACTGTAGAGACCATGGTCTGGATTCCTCTTCCTGCCCTCATTCCCCTTTCTGTGTCCTGCAGTATCCCCTTTGTATTTTCTCACTGTTCAGTAAAGGAGCCCATGTGTCTCCTCAGAAGGACTCTCCAGGACCGAGTACTACCAGATGGCGCTGGAGCAGCTGCACAGCCACACCAAGGCGCTGGAAGCCCTGGGCTCGCCCCTCACGGTGCACCGCCTGCCGATGCTCAGCCAGGACCACAGTGTGGACATCAACAGTGCCCAGGTGCGGTGCCTCCTCCTGCCTCCTCCTCGCTAGGGATCACACCTTTCAAGATGGGCTTTTAATATGCAGAAAACTTCCATTTGTATTCCTGTGGAGCCAGAGGACGTACTTTTCTTCCTCTGTGGGAGCTGATGTGGCAGGCAATGCAGTGGGAGTCACCCTCTCATCTCGTTGGACTGCAGGGAGAGGGGTGAGCAGTGGCTCGGATTTGAAATAGGCCCTTTCCAGTCAGTGGCCCTCCAGATGACCCAGCTTTCACCTTCCTTTCAAAGTTAAGTTTATTTACACCGCTTCATAATGCCAGCCCATTCTTCAGTGCCGAATCTTCTCTTTCTGTGTAGTTGGGTTTGGTAAGTCTCAGGTGAATAGAAAGTGCAGTACATGGTTCTTCTGTTTAGTCCCTGGGGCTGGGAAGAACCCTGCTATGTGGGGCGTGGAGATGCAGGACAGCTGGGGGCTCTCGGGGAGTTCAGGGTTTGCAGTTATGGAGCAGAGGCCAGCAAGGCTCCTTGCTGAGGTGTGGCCTCACCTGAGCATTCAGAGGCTCAGGGCTGTTATGAAGCCTGTGTTCCCTCCAGGGAGGCACGGCTGGCTGGGCCCAGGCAGCAGGACAGGCGGGGTGGGCGGTGGAGCGCCTGAGCACCACCAGGTTAGGGAAGCACTCTGAGGACAGGAGTGAGATGCTCAGGTTGACTTCCTTCCTCTCTCCCTTACCTCCACCCCTTCTTCTTCCCCCAGTTGCCCTCCTCTCCTTCCCCACTCTTTCCCTCTCCCTCCCTTGCTTCCCTCCCAGCCACTTCTCCAAAACTGCCTAGCATGGTGGCCTATACTTGTTATCCCAGCACTCAGGAAGCTGAAACAGGGTTGCCTGAAGTTCGTTCAGGCCTGGGCTACATACTGTAGTGAGTTAAAGAGTAGCCTGGAATACACAGCAAGACCTTGTCTTAAAAACCAAACCAGAAAAAAGAAAAGAAAGGAAAAGGAAAGAAAAAGAAAATGGCCCTGGCTTCCATCTCTAGTATCACCCCCAGTCCAAATCTCCAAAATTAAATCCACGTATAAGTGCACCTTCACAACCCTGTTTTGCTCAAAGGTCAGTTGTACTTGCATATACAGTAAGCCACACACATCCTGCCACTGACTTAACAGGTTCTAGCCACTTGAACACTGGACTGTCCCACTGGGTGGCTTGTGTCCCCGTTGGTACAAATGGATCTCATCACTTTTATCGGTCTTTTTACTAATGAAATTAATAAACAGCTGCCCAATGGGACAGTCATGCACACCCTCAGTGGGTCAAGCTGCCCAGCAGCAGGGCATACGAATGACAGCCCATCTTGAGCATGTCAGCCCACCTGTAGGTTACAGATACCTAATGCTGATGTAAAGGCCGCCAGTGATTCGGTGTTGTGTAGGAATAATGACAAGAAAAGCAAGCTGTTTTCTTGGAAACAGGAAAACAGACTTATTTTTTCAAATATTTTTGATCCTTTGTTGGTTGAAATTGTAGGTGTAGACCCTGTAGATAGGGAGGTCCTACTGTTTTTGATTGTTTTGTCTTTTTCATTAAAGCCTATTACTGATGGTCCAGAACAAAATATGTACTAATTTTCTGGTACTAGTTACCAACCCGGTTTGTTTTTTTTAAACGGTACTAGTGCTGGGCATGGTGGTACAGACCTGTAATCCTAGCACTTGGGAGGCTGAGGCAGGAGGGTCACCATGAGTTCATGAGTTTAAGGCCAGCCTGAGCTACACAGTGAGGCCCTGCCTCAAAAAACCAAAACAGCAACAGTAAAAAGTACTAGTGATTGAACTACACTGAGCTACATCTGCAGACCTTTAAAAAAAATTTTTTTTTGAGACATTGTCTTTCTAAGTCTCTAATTAAACCTAGGCTGTATTAGAATTTAGCAATCCTCTTGTCTCAGGCTCCCAGAGTGCTGTGAGTACAGGTCTATACTGTCACACCGCGCCTAGTTCCCCCTTTCAGTGTACTTTCGGCTTTTGTTTTTTTTCTGTTATATGATGGAAAATTCAAAACAGAAAAGACAGAATTTATACTGTGCGTACTCCTATAGCAGCCTTGCTTCTTCATCTAGGTGTATCTTTGCTCATGAATCTCTTATTGTGATGTATTACACAGTGACCATCAAACATCTGTGCACTGCACCTCTTACTACATATACACGTTTATCATTAGCTGGAGTTTAATACTGAGGGGTGCACATCCATGCATCCTGCTCTGTGCATTCTGACAAATGCCACGGACACAGCCTGTCCCGTCCCACCGGTCCTCCCTGCACGTCCTCCATCCCATCTCCAGCTCCACCCAGCCAATCGCTTTGCCAAGTCTTTTGCCAGCATGGTATCCCCTAATCTAGATAGACCTTAATGGGTGCTGGTTTCCTCAGTGTGTTCAACACTCATCTGCAGTGCGGCACATATGGGTGGTTTCCTGCTGTCTGAGGATGGATCCTGCGTTGCTTCTGCAAATGCTGAGTGTGGCCCTTGAGGTCTCTGTCGAGCAGGAGGACGGCCACTGACCTCGCCAGGTCTCCCAAGGAGTCTGTCTGTGTGGAAAGTCAGGTGGCTTCTCCTGATGCTGGATAGATACTGTGAGCTTGGTTCTAGAAAGCACATTTTGATGTCTGTTGAGATGACAACAGTGGTGTCTGGTGACAATTCTGCTTTGTGTCTCTTTCCCCCCAGTTGAAGATTCCAGTCTCTGGGCCCAAGGCAAAGGGCCATCTGTACACACGGTCGTCCAGAGGTGCCCCCTTTCAGAGGTATGAGGGAAGTGTGGAGGACTGGGGGCAGGAGAACCTTCAGATGGAAAAAGTCCCGGTTTCCATTTGTGTCTGTCATTAAATGACTGCAGTAACAAGAAGAAACAGCTTTCAAAGCCTGGAGCAGAAGGCTGCAAGGCTGGGCAACAAGCCAGCACTTTGACTTTTAGCTCAGTCCAGACAATTTATCCAGCACAATCTCCTGAATTGTCCTCTCCTCATCCTGCTGTCTTTGAAACACTTGACAGTTATAGTGGTCTAGGTCCACAGCGATTTGACGCGGTGTTCCAGCTTCTCCCTCTGCTGCCTCCATCATTACAGATGAATAAAGGCATTGAGTCTCTCTCCAGAGTTATTCATCGCATTCTCTGCAGATACCCTCCACCCCCTTAATTGGCTTTTCTTGTCTGGTTGCCAATAGCTACATCCACTCACTTCCCCCACAGCAAGCCTCTCCAGGATGGGAAGCCTCTGGGATTTTTCTCAGGGATGTGTTTGAATTCCCTAGGAAGAAGCAGCAGCACCCACCCTGCTCACCCCAGGCTCCCTCACCTTTGAGCCTGGGATTGTGGAGGAGTTCAAGCCCATGGGAGTTAGCAAATGGGAAATAAGCTGCCCTCCCTCCTTCCTGATCTATGAGCCCACTAGCTGTCAGCCAGCCATTGCCAGGCCTGCTTCGATTAAATAACATTAAAGCATTCTGTTGTCACAGAACTGAGCCAAATAACATTTAAAAACAACTTGAAACAGGTTTCCTAACAACTGCTTTTTAATTGTTTCCTTTTGGACCTGTCTTTTGCCCCTTGTTTCATCGATGAGAAGACTCCCTTCTTGCTTTTTCTCAGGTGGCACCTTCAGGAGGTCATCCTGAAGCTCCAGGATGGGCAGCAGATTCCTGTGTTCAGGCGCAGTGAGGCGGAGAAATGAGCAGAAGACTGCACCTGCCCTCCCTCCCAGCAGTCGTGAGAACCGGTTCTCCAGCCTCCAGTGGGGTGGCTGCTGGTGTGAGGTGGTTCCAATGTTGTGCTGATGTGACTACCACAGATTCTACTGTTTCTTTTAATTCAGTCGGAGAGAAAATTACAATAAAGGTTTATATTTATTAAGAGTGTCCCTTATTTAAAAAAAAAAAAGCAAAGCACAAGATAAAATAAGCCAGTATTGATAATTAAATGTTTGTTGATTTCTGCTAGTGCTCATCTCTTTTCTTCTTCTCTCCTTATCCCCTCCATGGCTTTCAGCTCCATGAATAAGAGGAGGTGTACCCTATGCCACGGTGCATGCCTGTAAGCCCAGCTACTTGGGAGGCTGAGGCAGGAGGATAGAAAGTTTGAGGCCAGCCTGGACAATTCGGTGAGATCCAGCCTCAAAAAACAAAATGAGATATTAAAAGGGTGGAGGGCCTGGAATGTCGTGCCAAGGGGCACCAGCACTATCAGAGCTTTGAAGTTTGCCGATGTCAGAGTGCTGAGGAAGACCAGCCCTTTGGGTTTGCTTGGCTTCTGTGGATCCCTGTGAAGGAGCTCGTGGGAATTCTCAGTCACTTTGGAATATTGTTTGCTTCATTGTTCATATTTCTATTTCAGTCACAGCTGTCTGCCCTCCTAAAGATAATTGCTTTTATTCCCAACATTCTGAAAGCTTTAAAATTTACATGTGTATATACATGTCTAAAATGAACTCAGGGAGTTAAAAGTTAATGGTCCTTATCTTTGTGCTTCACACGCAGCTTAGCTGTAAGAGAATCATTTCTTCAGCTTTTATTGGTCTTAGGAGAAACAAGTGTGGACCTAGCACGCTGCGAGCCTGAGGCAGAAGGGTGGCAGATTCAAAGCCAGCCTGCAATTTATTGAGAACTTAAATAAATAAAAAGAAATAAGGACTGGGGATGTAACTCAGTGCAAAGGTCCTAGGTTCAATCCCCCAGTACCTAAAGGTGGGCGGGGGCAGCATCTTGCTGAGCACCAGAGCCTACAAAACCAGAAACTGCTTTGAAAAGACCAGTTTAACCAGCTTAGTATTACTAGGCTTAATGCAACTGTAATTGTCTACAATAAGGGACATTTTTGGAGAGAAGCTTTTTTAAAATTTTTGAGACAGGGTCTATGTAGACCAGGCAGGCATTGAATTCATGGCGATCCTTCTGCATCAGCCTCTCAAATACTAGGATTACAAGTGTGCACCACCATGCCCAGTGCTTTCTTTTTAAACAGTGGCAGTTTTACATTTATTAAAGGTAGGAAGAAATCCAGAAGGCTAGGGGAAAAAACGAGCTCTGCAGAGTGACCCTGGGCCAAGTAAAGATAGGAAAAACGGAGGAAAAGATAAAACTGCATCCTATAGCGTAGGGCAGCCACTGTGAAGAGACACCTTGGCCTGGAAAGAAGCTTCTCAGGAGAAAACAAAAAAAGCACTGGTGGCATACAAGGCCTTTAATCATAGCTGTTCTGAAGAGGTTTTTTTTTTTTTTTTTTTTTTGGTGGCACTGGGGTTTGAACCCAGGGGCTACTGAGCTACATCCCCAGTCCTATGAACATCTTTTTAAAATTTTGAGACAGGGTCTCAGTAAGTTGCTTGGGTTGGCCTCAAACTTGTGATTGTCCTGCCTCAGCTTCCCAAGGAGCTGAGATAATCGAACCTAGTTGGGGTGTGTCTTTAAAACAATTCTATGGTCTTTGGTTATACAGTGATACATCTCTGTCCCTGAACGCACTTTTGCCAGTGTGTTTACTGTTCAGTATTTTAAATGACTAACACTGTCAGTTTTGTGCTGCTTGTCTAAGAATTCTATACCATTCTACTGTGTACATCAGTTTATTGCTTCAGGCTTTTCAGACAACTTCTACTTCCTTTCCATTTACTAGAGTTTTTGTTTCTTTGCTATGGCCAAACCATAGAAAAACAGGGCCTGGATGGAACTTCCTTTCTTATGGGAAGCTGGTTTTGTTTGGGTAGGATCTGAATCAGTGAAGACGCTTTTGTAATGCAGCTCCTTGATTCCTATTTCGGAGCTCCCATCTTGGGTATTTTTACTAGTTATGCTTAACTTCCATACACTTAGTGTCTTATTTTGAGCAAGCCCAAGCCTGGTCATTGGCATGGGCAGTGTCTTTCCCGTTAAGGACAGGCACCATGTGTGTCTGCAGCCCAGCACTTGCGGTGTATCCAGTAATCCTCGGGACTCAGCCATCGACTCCCATCTATCACCTCACTGACATCTTAGATAAGGAATATTGTCCTCGGAGAAAGAGGTAACCTTTAAACAAGCACCCCAGCACATCCCATAGACAGGACAGCTAGAGATGGAAGGAAGTGCTTGTAAAGACTGCAGAGGAAGCTGGACTATTCCTTGAGCAGGGCCGCCGGGCCTCCACCAAGTAAGGCCACACTCACTGCAGGGCGAGGCCTGGCAGCAATGCTAAAGGATATGGGAGAGAGGAGACCAGGTCATCTGGAGGGGCGATGTCCTCTGAGGCCTGGAGTCTTAAGTTTATGTTAAGCAGATGGGTGGAGAGAGACAATGAGCAGTGAGGGCTGCGCCCCAGCCGGTGTGAATACCACCAACAGCCTGGGGATAGTACTGATTCTGCTGTTAGTGCTCTGATTCAGAGCCTGTGCTGTGGAAAGACCTGCTTCTGTTCTAGACGTGGTGCTCTCTAGCCTGCAGCTGCCAGTCCTAGGACTCGTGAGCACCTGCGCAAGACGAGGTTTTATTACTCTCAGTTTTGGTAACTTGCATCCCAAAGATGAAGCTGAAATAAGTTTCACAAAAGGTGAAACAGCTGGATCTCAACACTCAGGAGTCCTCCGGGCACAGGAACAGGTGCTGAAGTGGCAGGAGCTCCAGAGGGGGCTTCGGAAGCAAGGAGCTGTGCAGGTGGCCTTGGGCTGCCGGACTATGCCGTTTTCAGTTTGTACAAAAAATACAGGTATTTACCATCCACCTGCCTCACAGGTGAGGCAGTGTTTATGCTGCCTGTTGGGTTGCTTGGGCCCAGATGCTGTGTTTCCACCCTTATTCCTTCACAAAGGGGGAAGACCTCCCCGTGGGCCACTCCCACTTCGCTGTCCCGTGTGGTCACCAGGGCTGCAGTCTGTCAGGGCTGCACAGCTGCACAGTAGAAAATTCTGTCTGCTCTGCGCTGTGACAACCCCGAGGGCAGGGAAGTGGGGCAGGAAATGTTAACACTGAGCCCCTAGGATACAGGTTGGGTGCAGGTCCAAGGACAATACCTTCCATTCCTAAATTCTTTCAGGGTTTTCCCCTTCATTTCCAGGAAGAATTTTCAAAAGGATTTTTGTCTTTCTACAAGGAATATTTAGTTGCTAAAATCAGACAAATCACAGGTACTGTATATAATGTTAAAAGCCTTTTATTAAACAAGCCATCAAGGCAAAAATTAGTTCTCACTACTTTACTATACTTAACCCTTTACCATTAGCCACTATGTGTCAGTTTCCTTGAAATAAGTCTTAATTTTTTTACTTCCAGATTTTTTACTGGTGATGGGGATTGAACCCAGGGTCTTCACTCCTTTAATTTTATAATTTTTATTTTGAGACAGGGGCTCCATAAGTTGCCCAGGTTGGCCTTGAACTTGTGATCCTCCCACTTCAGCTTCCCATTGTGCTGGGATTATAATCGTGTGACAGCGACAGGTTCATTGCAAGAAGGCAAGAATGGATCAATATGAGGAAATCTATTAATGTAATTCACCATACTAATAGAAATAAAAGGAAATTATGTAATTTGTTTTTAATACTGAAAGTTGTTTGACAAAAATGAAGTATTTCTATAAAAACAATCAGAGGAGAATGGACAATTTGTGGGTCTCCCACTCGTAAAGCCCTGACTTCAATGGTGAGCTCTCCATTCTAACTCCCCATCTAACCTACCCTTCACCGGCTCCTCCTCTACCTTATATCCGCCGCGCGGCCAGGCTGAGTTCTCACCCTCTTACTACTTCACAAAGGGGAATACATTTCACACAGGAAGCTTTTAGGGACACTCAAACCATAACCATACCATACAAGGACAGACTACTACACAGAGATCACTAGTCTTCATATATACAAAAAAGTAACCAGTTAGAAGAAATAACGGAGCGAAGGCCATATTTGAAATAGTTACACACAAAAAGCAAAACCTACCTAGGAAGAAGCGAAAAATCTGCAAAAGTGCCAGGCATAGTAGCGCACACCTGTAGTCCTAGGCACTCAGGAGGCTGAGCTGGGAGAATGGTTTGAGTTCAGGAGATTCAGAGCAGTCTGGGCAACGTATCCTGTCTCAAAATAAAATCTTCAAAAATTTACATAAGCTGAAGCAGGACTCCTGAAAGACACAGAGGTAGAACTAGATACATACAAAGATATACCATTTTCTTGGGTAGTAAGATTTTTTCATCCAAAATGTGTCAGTTTTCCCCAAATTCAATTTAATGCTATTGAAAAATATATCATTAGTTTTTTTCCCCCCTCAAGTTAGATAAGCTAATTATGAGTTTATTTGGAAAACAATTAATCAAGGGGAAGACAGGGAATTGTGCAAAGGAAAAACTGGTCTCATACTAAAACAAGCATAAATAAGTATGGGGAGGGAAAAGACAGTGCAATACCACAGGACAAAAAATCCAAAAGTGTGTCCGAGTTGACATGAATATTTATAGGAAGAGCAGCATCTCAAATCAGCTGGGAATGAGCAATAAGGAAATGACACAAGTTACTATATATGAGGACAAAATTAGATTCACTGTTTGCCATACAAATTCTAAATTAATAAACCAAAGATCTAAATGTAAAGACAAAACCATGTAAAATAAAAACTTGCTGGAAAGTATGGGTGGATTCTTTTATAACCTGGAGGTTATAACCAAATTTGGTATTTAGAAGTAACGAAACTGGTCAGTTTGACTAATAAAAACAGATTTTCTGCATGTTTTAAACCAAAGCAAATTAAAAAGACAAATGATAAATTGGGGAAAACATTTACAATTTACGTCAAGAGTATCCTTAATTTATAAAGAGCAAGCATACAAAAATTAAGAGAAAAATAATCTAGAATAAAAATGGACAAAAGGTACTAATTTACATAAAAATTAAAATGACCCAATCATACTCAAAAGACATCAACTTCATAAAATGTGCAAATGAGAACTATAGGGAGCTACCGATTTTCTTCTGGAAAATTGGCAGCCATCTCTAAATTTGACAACCTACTTTTTGGCCACCTGTGGTGAAACAGGTATTCTAAAATTGCTGGGTAACAAAATGGTAAAGCTCCTGTGGAGATAAATTTGATATCAAGAAATAACTCATGTGTATTTAACATCTGACCTAACTAGCAATCCCACATCTAGGACAGTACCCCAGAGGTATGCCCAAGCGAACACAGAATACCACTTCTGTAAGACTGTTCAGCCATGCGTGGGGTGTGGTGGTGCACACCAGTAATTACAGCACTTGACACTGAAGCAGGAGGATCACTGCAAGTTCAAGCCAGCTGGGGGTTACAAAGCAAGACCCTATTTCAATCCCCACGCCCCACAAAGACTATTCGGTGGATTTTTTTTTTTTTTTTTTGTAGTACACAGAGGGGTGGAACCCAGGCCCTTCATACTGAGCTATATCCCCAGCCTTTTAAAATTCTTTTCTTTTGAGACAGGATCTGGCTAAATCACTAAGTTGGCCAGGTTGGGCTCAAACTTGAAATCCTTGTGCCTCAGCCTCCAGGCACGTGGAAAACCAACCCTATTATACCTGACATCAAGATTCAGAATGTTGACAAAGGGATAGAAAGGTTAAATCCACAGACATAGTTATCAAAGATGAGTATCACAATGTAACAGGGAAAGAAATATCCTTGACAAATGGTGATGGAATGGAACATGTACAAGGGAAATAAAAGTGCTTGTCCCCTAACTTATACCATAGAAAAAATTAATCAAGGTGGACCATCCATCTAAGCATAAAAGCTGAAACTATAAAGCTCATAAAAATGAGATAATATATTCAGGACACTGGGTTAGAAGACTTTTTGTAGAGGATACAAATTTGAAACTTAAAAATTGACATTTGATTTTTAATTTCACTAAAATTAAAATCTTTTCACCAAAAGACACTATAGACAGGCCACAGATTGGGGGGAAAAACCTGGAATGGGCTGGGGTGCACCTGCCTAGCTCACGTGAGGCCTGGGTTTGAGTTCCCATCCCCCATAAACCTGATAACTTGTATCCAGATTGTATAAAGGACTCCTATTACTCAATTAAAAAGGACAAAAGAATTTAATAAGCAATGAACAGTTCTATTCATTAATCATTGAAGATATGCATATTAAACCACCAGGAAAAAACACCACATAACTAGAATGGCCAAATTAAAAAAGATGGGTAATAGCAACATCAGCAATACACCGTGCTATTCATACACTGTACTGGGAGAACAGAAAACAGCACAACTAATTTAAAAAACCAATGGACAGATTCTTAAAAAGTCATACATGAATCTACCCTAAGACCTGGATAATCTTGTCTAGAATTTTTTGTTTTTTCTGAATCAAGGTCTCACTTATGCAGTTCAGGCTGGCCCTGAATCTCCTATATAGCCCAGGCTGGCCTCTAACTTGCAGAGATCCTCTTACCTCATCCTCCGGAGTGCTGGGATTACAGGCATGTGTCATCATGCCCAGCCCTACTCCTAGCTTTCTAATTAAAAAAAAAAAAAAAGGCCGGGGGGGGTGGGGCATGTCTGTAATCCCAGCACTCAGGAGGCTGAGGCAGGAGGATCGCTGTGAGTTTGAGACCAGCCTGGGCTACATAGTGAGTTCCAGGTCAGTCTCAACTACATAGTGAGACACTGTCTCAAAAAACAAAAAACAAAACAAACAAAAAAATGAAAACATGTACACAAAAATCTGTTCAAAGAATTCGCTTATTCATAACAGTTCAAATCTAAAAGAGTCCATGAACAGAATGGATACATAAATGGGTGGTATATTCCAAGAGTACTAATCAGCAAGAAAAGGGAACCCACCAACCAAATACTGCACATGAATCTCAAATACCTCAGAGCCAGAAACCAAAGTCAAAGAACTGAAAAACCGTCTAACCCTTGTAGTCTAATTCTACAAGGGTACACTTAAGATTTAGGATTCATTTGTTGATACTTTGGTATTGATTTTTTCCTGTATAAAACTGTACTGGTATTCACTGAAGGATTTCACACTTCTAAACATGCACAGGCCTCTCTGCACAGAGCCTCGCAGCACCCCACTCCCCAGTACTGAGAACTAGAATTCACCTCCTCTCTAACATATCATACCAGTGAATTGTATTACATTTAAAACTAGATTTTATAACTCTGAGTAAACTAAGGTACTGTTCGGTCATTTATAAATTTGGTCATAGGAAAAACCAAATGTTAATAGCATTTCAAAGGGTAGAGCACTAAGAGAAAGACTGTATTCAGCCTCATACTCTGCTGGCTGTTCGCTGTTTATGCAGCATATTTGCTAGTACCATTTTACAAGTATATTCTGAGTGTTTCTTTAAAAGTACCATAGAGCTGGGGATTTAGCTCAGTGGTTCTACCTCGCAAGCATAGGACCTGAGTCTGATCCCCAGTACCAAATAAATAAATAAGTACCACAGAGCTCAAAATTAAGGTAAACAAGCAGTTATGGATATGCAGCAAATGCCTAAAACACATCTTTTCCACAAATGGAGTGACTCCATCAAATGTAATGTCTAGTGGTTCTGAAGTCCAAATGATCCTGACTTTAAAATGACAAATTCATCAAGTACAAACATGTGCCATTCTATACTAAGTTCTTTTGTTTTTTGGTCACTTACCCCCTGTTTTTATCAAAGGGGTAGTGTACAGATTTGCCTCAAATGGGTTCATTTCATTTGGGACTCACCTGAGACAACCTTGTGGCCACAGGTTTTCACTGAAAACTCTGCCACTGGGGCAGAATTTCCTTTCCCCTGGCAGAGCTTGTTTAGAAATGTCGCTTCTGGGAAGCTATACAAATGAAGCCCATTTACTGGGAAAACGGTGCAACTAAACTGCCTTACCCACCTCATCCAATGGTGGGTGGACAGTGGCAGTGTCGGGCACTGGGCCTTGCACACAGCTTAGAACCGTGGTCAGTTTATGACTTTGACATGTGAGAGATACCAGTCAGAGGGCCTTGTGTGACTCCTGGTTCAGAGCACAGGTAGGGGCCCAGGGATGTGCATACAGTGCACAGGTGACAGACAACCTCAGACAACCTTCCATGCATAAGGACTTAAGTTATACAGCATATGCTTGCACATCTCCATTTCACATTTCCTATTTAAATAGATATTTACTGTTCACTGTGGGCCTCGATACCAATGAAATGTTCAATCCAATCCTCATCAAATTAAGTATGTGTCATTTGGGACTAACCCAGGACCGTTCATATACTCTAGCCTAAGTTATACTCCCAGCTGGAGTTAATTCCTTCTGGAATAAGGTACTTGCCTAATGAAAACAAATCCATTATCAGTTTTTCAGTGGGCAAAATAAAGATTTACAATATTTTGTAACTGTTCCTAATGTAACTAAAGGGCTGATAAGAAACAGTGAACTACAGGCTCAGTGGCCACCAGGACTATGCTTTACATCTCTTTCTCCTCTGCTTTAGGTGTCAGTAGCTTTGGGATGGAAACAATAGCATCTTTTTTCACTGCCTTTAGTGTTGATCAGATCTCAATAACACCTGCAAGCGACCAAAACTGAATGACAATGGGGAGGCAGGGTGAGGTGGCAGGGTGTAGCCTGGAAAAGGAGGTAGACGAGGATGGTGTGAGGAATGAAAGCATGATTTAGCATCACTGGCTGACAGCACGAGACCCTGAAAACCAGAATAATTTCAAAGATGAAAAATGAGCACTTCTCTTACGAGTGATACTGAAGAAAAAAAATAATTAGTTCCTATAAGTTATACACATTAGGTAAAAATAGACACAATACAAAGAAACTGAATCCACTCAATGTAGTTATAAAATACAAAACTAAGATATTATCAAACTACAATGGATGACACTGTTAAGTCTCCAAATTTTAAAGATGTCTATTTAAATTAAAATCTGGTCCCCCCAAATAAATCCAAAATGAGAAAGCAGAATTTTAGTAAACACATATATGCAGATATAGGTATACACAAATAATGCAAAAGAGATTTATCAGAAGTGTAATTTTGGCACTTTTACTTGGATTTTTAAAGTAAATACAAGTATCTTTGTACACAAGTTCTCATTCTAGAGAAACAGGATGCTAAAAGGTTCAAACATCTTTCTTCTTAAAAAGAACACTGAAACAGATAACTTTACCTGTTAAATCCTTGGCTGGCAATTTTATAAATCTGGTTTGATTCACTTAATTCCAAAAGTTTTGCAAAATTATTTTTGTTTGTGTCAAGTTTTACCTGGCTATCTACTTCCAGTATACATACATTTGGTCAGAGGTCCATAAATAATATTAACATTTTCAATGGAGAAATCTTAAAGTTTTAAAGGGATATACAGCTCAGTAAATAAATTCTCCTGGAATTTCTTGTAGCAACGGTTCCTCAAATTTAAATCGTTTGGAAATGGCTTTTTGCTCCGTTTTCTCTTTTTCAGACTGTCTGCATTGTCCTAAAGTATATGAAGTAACTACAATTAACTCCTCTGTCACCAGTGGTCCCTCGGATTCTGGCTCCTCAGTATCTTCGTTAATTCCAGCCACAGAATCACCTTCTTGGAGGATGCCTGCTGCTTCTACTGCTCCCTTCACCTTGTGAGGACTGGGGATACTGCTAGGTGTCAACCACGGGTGTCTAAGACATTCCTCAGCAGTGGCTCGATCTCTGTATAAAGACAGTCACACAGGTGACAGCATTAAACTTCAATTGAAAAATCAGAGCATAAGATCCTATATTTATTGTGTTGTATTTTTAGAATGTATAAGGAGATGGCAAAAATCGAACTGTGCTTACTGAGTAGAACCAGAAGTTTGGAACTTGGGTGCATTCCCTAAAATGTTGAAAACGTATTTTAAGTAAGGTTTCTCTTAAAAGTTCTTTTGAGCAACCCAGTCACGGGTAGAAAATATCTGCTAAGGAGTAGCTGTCATTTCACTGTCAATTTCTACTACCCAGGAACACCAAATGCCGCTCACTGCATGACACATCCATAGTTTCAAAATTTCACTAATTTCAAACCTTTCAGACTGAGGCACAGGTCACATTTTCTAAGAGTATGTTTATTTCAATAGGTATATTAAGCCAAGAGGTTCACCTAGTTTCAGGTCAACACTTTTTTGTCTTCATTTTGGGGTTTCAGTTACTGAACTACTTTTGCTCAGAGGAGATCACTCAAAAACTGTCTGGGAGTGTTGCTCGGAGCAGGGTCGCCAGCACCCCACAGATAAAGAGGAGTATTAATACTTACTCAGGTTTCTTAAGTAAAAGTTGCTTGATGAAGTCTACAGCTGACTCAGATACATCATCAAATTCTTCCTCAGAATAGCTTAAATTCATCTGTGATATGTTCAAGAACGTTTCCTGTTTATTATCGCCTAGGAAAGGCGATACTCCTGTAAGCATGACATATGTTAACACTCCAATGCTCCTGGATCAGAAGAAAAGTGTGAGCACAGTTACTGCCAAATTCATTTCTGGGAACTAATTTCATTGATTTTTCATAAATAACACTTACCACATATCTGTTGCCATGCTGATAGGATCATAACTAAGAATTTCAGGGGCTAGTTGGAGAAAAAAGAAAATGTTTAGTTTCGTGGAAAAAGATGTCCTAATTTGCTCTTAAAGATAAACAATAAAGTAAGCATTAGAAACTATAAGCCACTATGATAAAAGTTTGGTTTAAAAAGATATATCATCATGTAAAATGAACAGGAAATTTTTTTTTTCCCCCTGTTTCTTTGAAACAGGGTTTCAGTATGTAGTTCAGGCTGTCTTTAACTTTACTATGTAGCCCAGGCCAGCCTGGAACTTATGGTGACCCTCCTGCCTCAGCCTACCTAGTGCTGAAGGAACATCAAACACTACATCTATCAGATAACAGCTCTCAAATCTTTCTCACTGCACCCCTATCTCTTCATCCCCACAGCCCAACCCTAGAGCAAGGCACTTTCCTCTCTCATCTGGGCCATCAGTGACTGGTCTCACCCCTCTGATCTATGATTCACCCCCAGTTCCCCAGACAGGGTCTCACTTCACAGTTAATGCTACACCTGGGGGCAGCTGATAATCACCTGGGTAAAGACAAGCAGAGAAAGGCTGTTTCTGGAGCAGCGCCCCCGCTTTCCTTTCTTTTTTGGGTCAAGTTTGTACCACTTTCTTAAGAGAAGACAGCATCATTTGGGGCAGGGAGTTGGTATGAAATTTAGATTAACCAAAAAGCCCCCACCCCACTCAATATCAAAATAACTGCTATTTTGATATTGCAGATCATAGCTCTCCATTCTGCAGTCTTCCATATTTCTTCCTACTGTGACTCATTAAAACTAACATATTTGGGTTGTTGCTTTCTCTGAAGAAACACTGATAAATCACACTTCTAAAACTTACAGGTCAAATGTGCATTAGCGTAGTGAAAAGTAGGTATTCTAGCCTATAAAAAATATAAAAATTCTGAAGGTTCTCTGCCTATGGTCTCTTTAAAATTTGTGCCTATTATTTTATAAAATATTGGGTTTCAGAGCATATGGCATATTTTGATCATGTCCCTGCCCCCATCCCCCCTTTCCCTCATGCTCTCCCACCTATTAATAATCTTCCTCTTACTTTCTTATGATTTTTTCCCCTTTTACTTTCATTGTTTAAGATTTCATGTATTAGAAAGACCATCCTATACTTGTCTGAGTCTGGATTGTTTTACTCAACATAATAGTTTCTAGGTTCCCTTCATTTCCACACAAACTACAAAATATCATTCCTTATAGCTGAATACTATTCCATTATGCATATATATGGCATTCGTGGGCACCTAGGTTGGCTCCATAGCTTGTAACTCTGCCAAAATAAACATGGGTGTACAGGCATCCTTACAGCAGATACCGAGTGGTATAGCTGGATCAAAAGGCAGCTATTTTTAGGTTTTGAGGCGCCCCAGTACTGATTTCCATAGGCGCTGTACAAGCCTTACATTCCCACAAGCAGTTTAAAAGGCTCCCCTCACCCCATCCTTGCTGCATTCATTCATTCACTTGCAGTACTAGGGACTGAACCCAGGGCTTTCAGATTGAGCCACAAGCCCAGCCCCCTTTTATTTTCTGAGACAGGGTCTTGTAAAGTGCAAAGTTGCCCAGGCTAGACTCAGACTTGACTTAATTATTTTTTGTATTATCACTGCCCAATGGCTTTGTTTTGTTTGACCTGTCTGCCTTCCTGTATCCTCTGGAATACTCTTCTCTTGTAAAAAAAAACAACTCCCAACATTCTTAGCTCCTGTTCCAAATTGATCCTTCTTCTACCCTGCTCTGACAGGTGTCCTGCTCTCTCTAGCTCTTGCTCCTCAGGTGCCTTTCCATGGAGACTTCATGCCTCTGCCCTCAGGCCACAGCCATCCTTCCCCTCTCAGGCTTGCCAGGACCCCAGGCAACTTCCCACTTATGTCCACGGCTCACGGAGCCCAGCACCAATGCCTCTGGACCTCTACTCTGAACAGTCATTTCCAGATCTACAGCCAAAGCCCTGTAACTACCTTTCTCTGGTTATAATCTCCAAATCATTCTATGGCCTTATGCATTTTTAAATCAAACAAACTATTAATCCTTCAAACCCTAATTTTCTTCCGGTCGATCAAAAAGGCAATAGTTTTTATTTTCCAACCTTGACGCGTGGTGCATCACTCCAGCTGCTCATCTATGTTCAAGATGCTTTTTCTGCCAGTGACCTCAACCTGGCAAGATCCCAAAGACCAGCTCTGCTTCACACTCTCTGGAACCCAGGGTTGGTAATAACTTTATTATCAACTGGAACTTCTTCGCAGGCCCCTTCTTTTCTTGTTCTGTTCCTTTGTTTGCCTTCAGCAATGCTGGGGCTGGAACCTAGGGCCTTGAATGTACTTAGCAAGTACTCTACACTGAACTACACTCTAAGCTTCCTATTCATTTAGAGGCAATACTTCAAACTCTTAGCTTGGAGGTGGGGGTGTAGCTTGGAGGTAAGATGTCTTGCTCAGCATGCACAAAGGCCCTGGGTCAGATACCCAGCACCAAAATAAAAAAATTTTTAAGAATCAAATAAAATTTTTAAAACTTTCTTAGCCTTGCATGAAGAGTATCGCCAATTTCATACCATATTCTTCAATATTGTCCATGCTTAAATCAATTTTCAGATTTAATTCAAAGGAATGAATCTCTGATGGTGGACTTTCAATACAGCCAAGGCCTTATTATGAAGCAGGCTACATATGAGCTCATTAACGAAGGTGGTTCCTACTCTAGGAATACTTACCCACATATTCAGGAGTACCCATAATTTCTCGAAGCTCTTCACTGTTCTTCATTATTCTTGAAAGGCCAAAATCAACTATCTTAATGTCACCCAAAGGAGATTCACTTGTCAGCAGAATATTCTGAGGCTAAAAAATAAAATGTATACCCCAAAAGATTAATAAAACCATGATTAAGTACACAAAAACATGCAGCCCCCAAAACACAAATTCCACCTGTGAAACTGAGATTGAGGAGTCGAACAGTAAGCAGTCATTCATTGGAGACATACTTTAATGATATGCTCCCTATGCCATGTTGAAGGCAGCAGGCTTTGTACTCTATTTTCAGTCTCTTTCCCAGTACTGGCTCTTTCTTGGCACATAAATGTGATTTTATTCCTAACTTTAAAACAAACCACTGTGTTTCTTGTGCTATCCTCAAAGACCCTGAATCTCTTTCTATCCAGTACAGTCACTCCCTGCTGGTCCCTTTATGCTCAGATTCTTGAAAGCACGGTCAAGTGCACTTGCTGTCGCTTTTCAATTCAGCTAAGTCCGTTGTATGCCTTCTAAATCTGCCCGCATGAGGTCAAGTCAAGCATTACCCAAGACTCAGAAAATGCCCATGGGTGCCTTTCAGGCACTATTTGCACGCACTGATTTCTGTAGCACTGTGCATGGTGAGTCATCCCAACATTCTCGATATTCCTTCCATTTGTGTCTCCCTCTTGGATCTGTTCTTCCATCAATTCATTTATTTTCTCAGAATTTTTTTACTTCTGCCCTCCTTTTACATATTAGTGTTACTCAAGATCTTGCACTGGCTGCTCTCTTCTCCCACTTCTCTGCATTCTATTGTCTAACAGTGCCATCTACTCCTAAAGCTTCAGCCTTTCATACACTGATCACCATACCACACCTTCAACTCCCACCACAGGACAGGTCTTTAGTGCAGTACACTTGAAGGAAACAAGCATCCACAGCCCCATGAATCAGTTTTCCTCTTCTGTAGTCTCAATCTCAATGCTCGAGCAAAACACAGGGGTTCACCCTAAAGTGGGGCCTTAATCCATACGTCTCGCCACCAGGCAGCTTGAACCATGGGTGGAACATGTGTGACTATCCTATCTGGCAGCTTTGTATTAATTTTACTAGTAAAAAGACCAATAGAAGTGATTAGATCAGCATGTACTACCAGTAGCACAAGCCGCCCAATGGGATGGTCATGCATATATCACCAGTGGTTCAAGCTGGGGAATGTGTTACATCTCAATATCCCCACCGCTTAAAAAGTCTGGGATTTTCGTTGTTACCCAGACCATCCTGGTAGCCTCCTGTCTCTGGTTTTCTCCATCTTCAACCCATCCTCTGTTGTGTAATTACACAGTCATCCCTCAGTCTCTCTGGGGGACTGGTTTCAAAGCCTGTGGAGGTACAAGTTCCTTACATAAAATGGTGTAGTATCTGCATATAACTTATACATATCCTAGTATATAGTTGAAATCATCTCTAGGTTACTTACAATTCCTATGAGACATAAATGTTGCAGTTATTACATCTTAGTATTTAGAAAATGACAAGAAAAAAGTCTACATGGTCAGTACAGATGCAATTTTCTTCCCAAATATTTCTGATCTACAGCTGGTGGTTCCATGAATGCAGAGCCAAAGGTACCCTTTCCACACTCAAGTCTGATCCTGACAGCTGTAAGGATATTCACTGTTCATCACCCATAGACACTTAATGAGTATGGGGTGAGGACAGAGACGGTGCGGGGCACAGAATCAACAAGGTTCATAGCCTTGGATTTATTTTTACCCAGTGTAAAATTATCCAAGACACTCATTAAAAAAGATAAGTGAATATATTATGAACCAGAATATAGAATCATTTGAACATTTAATATAAAATATGAGACTTGAGAAAAAGTTTGTATTCTTTTCAGAGAGAGACTGCATTTACTGTCTTCCACCATTACGAATATTTCCAAAGATAAGCTACAAAGCACTGGTATCAATAGATTACAGATATGTACCCACCGCAGTGTTCCATGATCTGGTGCCTAGCTCCATTCTAAGATTCATGTCCTGTCACTTTCCACAGCCAATCAATCTATGTTGCAAATCAAAGAAGCTGCAATCTTTTCCCTGCACTCTCACGTCCCAGGCCTTTACACATGCTGTTTGTGCCAGGATGCCCTCTCTTTGACATTCATATTAATCACATACCCCCAGGCAGTGCGAGTTTCCACAAAGCTCTTCCATTCACCCTGCCCTCCTCCTCTTTCTGGGGAAGGTGCCATGGCTGCCTACTCTGCTCCTCACCATCTTGTATATGACCACCTCATTTCTTTTGTGAAATGTTTATTCTTCTGTCTCCTTTACCAGTGTAATTCTCTAAAAGCATAATAATGATCATTCACATTGTCTTTTCCCTCATTTATACCCAGCCACTGCATTTGACTTCTTTTTTACTGTTGTTGTTGTTTGAGACAAGGTCTTGCTATGTCTTATGATTGGCCTTGAACTCACTATGTAGTGCAGGCTGGCCTCCAACTCGTGGTGAATCTCCTGCTTCAGCCTTCACAGTGCTGGGATTATAAGCCTGTGCCACCATAACCAGCTGTATTTGTCTTTTGTACCTTTCATTTAACTGTTAAGTCATAAAATCAAATGGTATTTTGCGATGCTTTCTTCTGGACTACTATCTTAGCAGTGTCTGTCACTATTATGCATTCTTTCCTTGCTTATATACACTATTTCTCTTCGTTTTCATGACAAGCCAGAATTCCCATTTTTCCTGTCTCTGGCTGCTTTTTCTGTCATCTTCCATTACTTGGCCCACTGATGATTCGGTTTCTCATGGCTTGATCTCACGCCCTTTTCTCACACCATACTGTCATCTTGCAGGCTAGCTGCAATTAAAACTTCAAAATTACCTACACGTTATGACTCACACATGTTTCTCTCTTTCTAACCTCTTTAACCAAATGCTTACCGATCTCTGCCTTTTGAGGTCTCAAAGGCACCTCAAATTCATCAAGACCAAAACCAGACTGGTATCTTCCCTCTTTAGATTCTCCCACCACTGACAGACCTCTCAGTGAATGTTACAATCACCCAGCAGGAGAGAACACTAAGAATCATCTTGGTCATTCATTCCTCTTTCCTTCCTCCCTCCTCATTTAACTAGTACATCATTTTATCTTGACTTTCAATCATAAATTCTAAGCCTTTCTAGTTTTGGTCTACTTATCTCCATCTATGAAAAGCTAAAGTTATTAACATTTTGTGCTCAATTTCAACAGTCTCTTCAGTGGTTTGCTAGGGATCTATTTTGCCCACACCACAGCCAGAAGGATCTTTTGTACTTTGTAAGTCTGATGTTACCTCCCTAAGCCCACTGCTCTTAGAAGACAGCCATGCTCTCTGACAGCAATTACACACCTGCAGGGCTGGCTCCTACCTAGCTCTACACGCCTCATTCATCTTGGCTCAGTAAAACCCAGCTTCACTGGATGTTTCTCAGCATGCTCTCTTCTCACAAGATGCAGCCCTTCCTCTGCATTTATTTTTTCCTTGTCTTTGCCCAGTGTCAACTTAGTGAAAAGACCCACAGTGGTAGTAAAGCAGAAAAACCATGACTTTCAACAATGCAAAGGGCTGCAATATGAGAAGAGAGAGCGTGAGGCACAGATGGTCCAATCTTTCCCTTTAAAGAGTCTTACTACTGACCTAATATCCATCCTTTTTCTGTTATGAAAACTCATATGTTTATCAAGATCTGAATTCAGACAGAAAGAAAGGGAAGAATCTACAGCTCTGATGTGGACAGGAGTCACAGTGCCTATCACTGTTACTACAGTGGGCAGAGCCTAGTACACAGTGACACGTATTATATGGGTGACTGAACAGGAGAAACATACCTACAAAAAATGGAAAGAATGTCTCTTTTGTCTTAGGAATGGTGGCAGCATGAATGGCAATACTAAGGAATCCCCACTATCACAAAGCTGCTAATGAGAGGAGGAGCCAGACCTATCAGGCTCCACAGACTCCACTGCACACTGCTCAGTGACAGCAGTATATGCAATGTGCTAGGCTGTATACTTGTTAGAGGGACTAGCTCCACCTTGGGAAGTTACAGAGGTGGTATGATCACAGACCCTCAAGATAAAGAGGAATTCACCTCAACAGTTATTTAACAAATTTTAACTGCTTACTAAGCTATGTGCTAGGGAAATAAAAGAATAAGACGTGAGTCCCCTCTTTTGGAGATCTGCAGTCTAACTTTTTTTGCTGGGGACTGAACCAGCCCCTACCACAGAGCTGCATCCCAGCTTGGAGCCTTGTACACAAGTACAAGTACATTTACCCTCAAGGAGTTTGTAGAGCTGGGGGAACTCAGGGTGATGGCGAGAGCGGATGCTGCCATTTGCACAGGTGTGTGCCACCATTAGAAGAGTCAGAAGGTTCTGTAAAAGGCAAAATTTGAAGGAGAGGACAACCTTAAGAAGGAACTAATTTTGGTACAATAATCTCTGAACAGTGTAGGAATAGAGAAGAGCTTGTATAACAGCCCTAAGGTGAGGAAAAACCACCAGTGGCGGATTTCAACTAGTCTTATTTCTCTGGAGAACAGCACAAGGCAGAAGGGACAGGAGACGCATTAGGAAGAAGACTGAAAAGTAAACGAAGGAATGGGAAGCACAAGGCTCTGCAGGCCCTTCTGGGGCAAATTAAAGAAGGCAAGCACATTTTCTTAGTTAATTAGCCTCTAGATATTTGCTAAGATTTGAATGTGTCCCCCAATAGCTCATATGTTGGTAGCTTGGTCCTTGGCACATTAATGTGAGAGGGGTGAAACTGTAAAGAGTTGGGGCTGTGTGAGAAATAATCAGGTCATTGAGTGTTGCCCTCAGGAGGGGTCAGAAGGGATTAGGCAGTCCTCAGGGATGCTTGATTAATCCTCATGAAAGAGTTGTTATCAAAGAGCATGCCTGGCCCCTGGAACTGCTTCCTGTTTTCCAGGTGATTGCTTCTGCCATCGGGAGCCACCTTCTGCTGAGGTTATCACCAGAGCCAAGCCAATAAATGCTGGCACCATGCTCTTGATCCTCCACAACTTTGAGCTAAATAAACTCTCTC